CCGGGCGACTGGCAGCGTCCTCCACCAACCACAAGCTCGCGCCTGCCCTCGGTGGGCGTGGTTTCATGCGCGCGCGCCTGCACACATGCGCAACCCACCTCCTCCCACCCAACCTTGGACTCAGGCGGAACTCTGGAGCTTCTGATTGGCTTGTGGTCCTGTCACTCCGGGGCGCCTTGTCCAACGGTATGGCAGTAACACGTTGATGTGATAAGCTGGGCTGTGGCGTTTGACCGCCCATTTCTCACCCTCCTATCTCCTCCCCTTACTCCTCCCACTTCTCCCCTCCCCCATCCGCTCTATTCTCTCCTCGCCTCCCCCCTTCTCCGCCCGCCACTTCTCCTTTCTCCTCCCTTCCCTTAGTTCTCTCCCCTCCCGCACAGCCGGGCCTGGGCAGTGCCAGGCGTTGTGGGACCCTGAGCTTGGTCAGGGCCTTTGTATGCAGCCCTGAGCAGTCCCCTTGATGGGGTGCGGGGCAGTCAGTTGATTTAGCACACTGCCCTAGTGTAAAGGTGCACACAAGGTGCAGCGTGTGGCGGAAGCCATGCAACCTGAGTGCCTCTCTGGTGTGAGTGAAACAAAAGACAGGACCAGGCAGCACTTTACAGACTAACGAGATGGTTTATTGGGTGATGAACTTTCGTGGGCCAGACCCACTTCCTCAGATCAAATAGTGGAAGAAAATCGGCACAACCATATATACCAAAGTGATACAATAAAAAAGTGAACGCATGTGAAATTAACAAATCAAATTTAAGAACAGAGTGGGGGTGAGGGGGGAGGTAAGTTTCTGTGAGGTAGTGACATAGGGGTGATAATAGGGGAAGTTTCTGTGACTGATGTGAAGCTGGCTGGGGGCAGGGCGGAGGTGGCAGTTGGTTCAGCGTATCCAAAACAGGATGTGGTGGCACAAGGAGATCCATGAGCGCCCTAGGACAGTAATGGGCCACCTCTCCCCTTTTGATTTCCACTCACCCTTTGTGCTGTCCTGTCCTCCACACACAATGTTCCATTCCCCCTTCCACCCATGGAAAGCAAATCTCTTCCTCTTTCCACACCTGCCCTTCCCCGCCCCATCCTCCCACACTTCCCCCCGCAGATCAGCACGACCGACCGGAGGCACTGAGCTCTGAGCATCCTGTCACAGGATCAGTGCTGGCCCAGCCCACAGTGAGGAGAGCCGAGAGTCAGGCCGCCTGGAGCTGGGAGCACAGAGACCGCAGCAGAATGGTCAGGCTGAGCATTGCTTCCTGGCAAGGGGGTCAGGTGGGGTTTTGGGGGGCTGCATTGGAGGGGGGTTGCGGAGCAGGAAATGCGTCCTCTTCCTCAGTTCCCCTGCAAAGCTGGGATCCAGAATTTGGGGTGTGTTCAAATTGAGTCTGCCTCTCCAAGGCCTAGCCCAGCTGGAGGACATGTGCCCATGAGATGATCTATCTCTGGGCCCCCCACCCAGGGTTTTTGAGAGGCGTTTGCAAGCTCCGAGGTTTCAGCAGCATTGAGTGATACCAGCAGTATGGTGGGAGGGGTGAAAAGGTGGCTACTACTTAGAAAGTCGGGTAGCAGTCATAGATCCTGCCCATGGGTCGGGGAGTTACCCATCTGGTCCCTCTGGCATAGGTGGGGGAGCTAGCAATTAGATTTGGAGCTCAGTATTTTACCACTGTTTGCCCGGCTGTGGGAGCTGCCCCACAATCCTGGCATCAAAGGCGGTCTGGAACAGTGGCTGGGCACAGGAGAGGGTCTTCATTGTTCATCTGTCAACCCATGTGGATGTAAGCTGTATATATTATAGTGAGTTGTGTGTGATAATAAGTGTGTGTATAACAGTGGTTGTGTGTATGATAAGAGGTGTGAGTCTGTGTGTGTGACAATAGGTGTATGAGACAATGGCTGTGTGTGACAATAAATGTGTGACAACAGGGATGTGAGTGTATGACAATGACTGTGTGTGTGATAATAAATGAGTGTAACAGTGGCTTTGTGTGTGATAAGTGTGAGTTTCTGTGTGTGTAACAATGATGTGATAAGTGTGTCTGATAATGGCTGTGTGGGACAATAAGTGTGTGACAATGGCTGTGTAGGAATGGGTGTGCCCGCAAAATGACATATGTGAAACTGCGCGTGTATGTGTGTGGGAGAAGTGTGTGTGCGTGCACTTCTCAGCTGGTGTCTCTCTCCATGCACAACCCACAACTAAACAGACTATGAAACTTTTTGGACCCACAATCATGATGACCATCCCAGGTCTTCCCCACCACAAGGGGGCCGTGACCTACATGCACCAGTGCTCTGCCTTCCCCATCCCTCGGCCTAGGCCATCCCCTGCAACTGTGGGCAGGGCCAGAGTGGTCTATGCTTCACAATGGGCAGGAGGCCATTACTTGGAAACAACCCCGATACACCAGTCCTGGCCTGTTCCAGCAGGGGGTGCTGTAAGGACCAGGGCAAGCACACTGGCTTTGGGGGGAGCCCCCAGTTTCT